TCATCCTCTTTACTCAGAAATAGAGGCAACATTAAAAGCGCCAATTGGCTGATGAAAGTCCTCTGTGTACGGTAATGATGGCACTACATTGCTAATTGCTTGTTCAAGTAAGCCCAAAACGCACTGGAGAAACTGTCCAAGAGTGCTAAAAACAGGAAAGCAGCACCAATCACCAATCTGGGCCCTTCAATGACGGCTCACACCAGCCCAACGCTAAACTTTGAATCCTGATGTGAATATTAGATATGGAATAGATTTGGGCAGACATTTTTATGGACGTGGGAGTCTGTGTTTATACAGATGGCTAAAACTTTTCCACATCCAGAAGTGATCACCGTTAGGAATTGTTTATAGACCAAATTAAACTTTAAAGGTACTGTATGCAACTTTTGGGAAAGACTGTTTATTGTTGAGTCTCATTCCCACATCGTCAAATACCAACCCTCTGGGTTAGTGGTTCAGTTCAACTACCAACCCAAAGAGTCGTTATTTGACGACCTGGGAATGAGACTCAAAGACAAAATACTACAAAAAAATACAAAGGACCCTCTTTTAGATCAGGAAACTCTAAATATGATGGACTACCTACTTAGTATTTCATGCTTAATAGTTCTAGCTACTTTTGCTCATTTTGCTAAATCCCTCTGGCTGCTAACAGAGTCAGTAAGGGGCCAGTTTTATACAAACTGTGTTATTGTTACGGCTCAACTGTATGTAATAAAGTCATGTAAAAATAGGACTTAAGTATATGTTCTCTTGTCTTAAAGAATAATATACTGTGGCGTTGAGATTTTGTCTACAATTTACCATGCCTTCTCTTGCACATCACAACCCTGTCGTCTAGAAACTATGTTTGTATGTTGCGTTCTTATTTACTTTGCTGTAGCAACAGTGGCATCTGTGACTCAGAGGTAGAGCCACCAAACGGAAGATCAGCGGTTCGATCCCCGGCTCCTGCAGTCCACATGTCGAAGTATCCTTGAGCAAGATACTGAACCCCAAATTGCTCCTGATGATGCTTCAATCAGTGTGTGAGTGTGTTAAAAACTGAGTAGCAGGTGGCACCTTGTGACTCGTATATTTCAGGTAATTAAACGCTACATTCATGTATTGTGCAGGAAGGACATGGTTGAAGAGGAAGGTGTGAGTACAAAGTGCAGGACCTTGGCACCAGATTTTCGGATTCAAGTCCACACTCTTGTGTTAAGTTTGGACAACAAAAGCAGTTTGATTAAGGTTAGGAAAAAAATTGTGATTTCAGTCAAAAAAAGGTAATAAAAAATAATGCTTTAGCTGATACTGTATTGCAGGATCGCCTATTTTGATTGAAAACAACTGTAAATATGTTTTCAATGCCCATGTCGCTGATGTGTGTGGTACATATGTTCAGATTTTGGGTGGGGATCACAGAGGAAATGCCCCCTAAATGTTTACAACATGTGCATTCATCCCCACCAATTAAAACATGAAAGTAGCAGAGGATTTTAAGCCATTAATTGGTGCAGAAAATGTACACATTTATGCATAAAAATTCACCAGCATAAAGGAAATTAAGTGTTTGATGCTCAAAGTGTTCTTGCAGATGACCCGGAAACCTCCTGTTTCATCTGCCTCACACTCCATGTTAAAATGAGACCTACACCCTTTTTTGCAATGTATTTTTGCAACTTGCCAGGTACCTTAATTTGCTACATTTCCTCATTATGTTCATGGAAAACGTAATTTGCTCAACATGATGTTTCCTTCAAAACTTAATAGCTTGTTCATATTAGTTGTGTATAAATGTCATTTCTGGGAGACGGGGCTGCATAACAACATCACAGAGATTCTAAGCTCAGCTGCAGCTGTGCCAAAATTACCTTCTTTTTTTTTTAATTAAATGTTTCATTTTCAAATAACCTGAAACTTGATTGGGTGTCATTATTTATATTACCTCCTATATAACAAACATGCAGTCTTTTTACATTATAAGATGGCAAGTTGCAGCCTGTATATATATCTACTACAGTGAGACCCAGGTGGTTTCTTTACCTCCTGACACAGTGGCTGTGGAATAGGTGGGGGCGTGCGCTGCTGCCTGCATAAAAGAGCCTTTCTTTTTTATTATTCTTCTTAATCTGTCCCTGATGTTTGACCATGTCAGGCATTTACCGGGATAATGACAACATCCTTGAACAATTTTTTTGTCTGGACAAAGAAGTGGTGAATAAATGTTCAGGATTCAGCTGGAGAGGCATAAACACATGTTTACAGTTTGTTTACTGTGTTACATTCTTATTCAGTAACCCCACTTACCCACGACCTCCAGTGAACCAAACAGTACTGTTGGTGGCAAAGGCTCCAGGCAAGCCTGAATGAAGCCACACTGTATTTTTTCAGTCCACAGCTTCAAGGTTCTTTAATTTACAGCACAAAACTCAATGGATTTGCCTTCATCCTGTTTTCTTCCCCCCAGAGCATCACACAAAGTATGGAAGCACCAGAAAAAGCAATACACTAAACACACAAAGAACAACAACCCAAACACAGACACACACTCTTTCTAAAGATCACTAAACCTGAATATGCGAAATATCAGTCGACACAAGCTTGTAGCGCAATAACACAGAGGCATCATTGGATTCACGGCGTCGAGAACAGACTGAACGAGCGTTTGAGTACATGTAAGCGCTCACAAGATGCCTTTGGGTTCCATTCCCCATAGTCTATCATATCCATCAAAATGTGGAGCAGGTGTTGCTAAGACAGGCCCAAATTTATGAATCACATTTTACAAGATTACTGGTCTCATTCAACTACACCAATGTCAAATGGTTGCAAACATCTGTAACTGATCATAATTTCACTTCCATTAAGTCCACATTAGCTGGAGCATCGCAGACAGAGAGGAGAGATGCAGTATAATGCATCATTTAGAAGCAAACAAACAAACGTGGTCTGAATGAATTTTTATATTAGAGTCTGAAAAAGTGACTCAACTCGTAATTGTTTTCAACCATTTAAGCATTTGACAACAGGTTGTGTGTCTTTCCGTCCTGAATGCGCCATTCTAAGGTGAACACTCAATGCAGGACAATGGCAGATATAAAATTAAAGCTCCTTTAGGGGATTTGTGTGGCTCAGGGGCCCCTAAAACACACGAGCACACTTATTATTATTTATGTAAGCATGTCATCCTCCTGTCTAATGAGCCTTTCACCGTGAGCGTAATGAAACAGCTTGCATTAACACAGGCTAAATGAACAGCCGAGAGCTCCCATGTCTATGCAGAGAGATGAAAGCAGATGCTCCGCAACCCAAACACCAGCGCAACAGACCCACGGAGAAACAGGGGGGACTTTGAGTCAGAGTCATTCTCATCAGCTCATTGACTCCATTAGAAAAATCTTGAATTCCCCTTGGTCAAACATCATTATGAGAGAACAACTCTGAACAGAGCCGCGACCAGCTGACCAGAGATGAACCCTTCAAATTGATTTTTTCCCTCCCATAAACATGATAAACAGGTTCTTCTCTGGCTAATAAACCTGGACTCAAAGTGAATGTCAACTATCACACACATGAAAGGTGCTGTAAACAAATTCACACTCCTTGGAGAATCGGCCGCAAAGCAAAAACATGAGGTGTCTGAGAGAATACAGCACTTACAGCACTATTACATGCTAAATTCTATGCAATTTGGTTTGGTAATTGATGGGTTGAATGTTCTGTTGTGAAGAGGAAGATAATACTGGCTGACTTGGAAGATCAAAACAGAGTAAACGCCTTCACCACATCTCCTTCAAATACTTACACCTACAACATAATGTATGTGCTATGCTGTGCAAATCACATGAACAATGTACTCCTACAAATGAACTCTCTGCCTCTGTTTTACAGCAATTTGTGAGCATGACTGTGCATGTGTGTAAGAGTGTAAGGGACACTAAAACAGAGCAATAATGAACTGCTAATGAGACAATTTCTCAGAAAAAATGGCGTCTAGAAATCACAAATATTTATATTAATTATTTAAAGTGAACATCATATTCTTATTATTCTCTCACAGTGTGTTTTGTGCTTCATTTTTACCCACCTAAAGCACACAGTGTCTCCATTCAAAATGTAACATGTCTAATAAAATCTGATTTTAGGTTTTGAGAGTGCACAATTCACAACTAGACATTTTTAAAGCTTAAAACTACACAAAAGCACTCCTCTTTGTGTGTTTGTCATCTACGTGTCACATGTAAACTCCAGCTAACTTGATATATGACAGACAGAACGTTGGTACAGTGTAATCATCTGTACAGAAAAGAGCTGCTGTTTGAGACCGTGGAGCTAAAAATATAGCATTTTTCAGCTCAGTATATAATCACACACATTATGATTGAGAAATTAGGTAAAGCCTAACAGCTATATGCAATTGTATACTCTCAGACTCTTAACCCAACATGAAACAGCTCACTTTCTACGATTTTTACTCTCTTAAAGGAGCATTTCAGAGTTTTCTAAATCATATTTGCATTACAAAACACCTCCCAAAACTAGTGTGCAGGATTTTTGAATGACTTTTCCCCCCCTACAAATCCAGGCAGCAATAATTCATGTCACTGTATGCTGGATAAAAATGAAGTTGCAGGGACTTGCAACTTCCTGGAGTGTGAAAATCTATCCCATGGAGTCGATTATATATTTTTACACAATCCAAAATGTGCTTAAAATAATGTTATGAGGCTGAAAGCACAGACTGGAAAGTTTGCATTGCCACACAACAACATATTGACTTTAATTAATATGTATGCAGAATTATCACTGCGATTTATTATGTATTTTAATCTCTTGCAAACTGATTTTCTTACCTCCAAGAAAAGAATTAAGACATGTGACTGTGTGTGAAGCAATAAAACAGCAACACACAGGCAAGCTTTGGAAAAACAGCAGCTTTAAGTATGCGTAATTTGAAAAAATGGGGCCACAGTTGAAGAGTGTTGCTGGATAAAACAGAAATGGTAACTCACCGGTACCAGTCCAGCCCCTTCTCGTAGTTCCTGTCAAAGAAATGTGGCTCATTCCCAACGGCTCTCACGTCAGGGTGCACCCTGAGAGCTTCCAGCAGGGCTCTGGTCCCCCCTTTCTTCACCCCGATGATGATGGCTTGGGGAAGTTTCTTCTCTCCATAATCCATGGTGCAGTTCACCCTGAGTTCGCTGTCCGTGGTGCTGAATTCCTGGTGCTCTCTCTCCAGAGCGGTGGTGTGATACGCCGCCGCCGATTTAGTTGGAGACGCCTGAGTCCTAATCCACTCCACTGTCCTTTGTTCGGCCTCAGCATGATCCTTTACGGTGGAAACCGCGGTGGTTCCCTCGGCCTCGGTGAATTCAGTAAAGCCCTGGGAAGCGGAGTAAAGTTTCTCCCTCAATGTCACAAAAGTTGTCTCCTCCGTCACCAGCCTCCCTTGATACGCGTAGTTCTCTTGCAGGGGGAACTGCAGCGAGTTGTAGCAGCTCATCAAGCTATAGAACAAGTAGGTGACAGAGAGGGAGAGGGTGAACATGAATAAGATTTTCCGGGGCACTTTAGAGGTGAAAACCGAAGTGCTGGACCAAAATGCCATCTCTGATAGCAGTGATCCTCTCAAAGAAGTGGCCAGACATGTTTCCACCCCGAGTCTTGCATGGACAAAATCAACAGCAATAATCAGTCACTATCAGCGCTGCTCCAGCTAAAAAAGCGTGAAGCCGGACCAAACCAACCTAATCCAAGCAAATCGCATATTTCTAAGGATAGCGGGGAAATGGATCGTTAAAATTCCGGAAGAATACAGCGTCCCTTTTCTTGAGTATCGATTTCTTATTCCAAGGCTGACAGACAATGTCACAATTTATTGGACTGAACTTGCAGATTTGAGAGGCTGGATGTCTGGCGTCCTTCCAAATGAGCAGCCTGGCTTGAACTGGACAGAGTATGATGGACGAAATCCTGGCATTTTATAACAAGAGGGGAAAAGAGAGAGAGAGAGGAGGGGAGAAAGGGAAAATGAACAGTGTTTAAAGTGGGGTTCTTCTTCTCATCAGCCGCTCAGCCCGAAGTCCAGTCCAGTCTGACTGGTTTCACATCCATCCAGGCAACCTAAAAAGCATTGTATCTTTCCAACAAGAGGCGAATCCTTCTCTCTATTCTCCTACTTTGAGGAGCAGAAAGTCCGCAGCCTTTGCACAAAAGCATCCACTCTTCCCACTGACTACCAGGCTGCTGCTCGCCGTCCTTGCGCCTTCTCAGATTGGTAGGATCCTACGATGTGCGCATCGGCTGAGTGAGCTCATCTGAACTGAAGCACTGTGGAGCCACACAGCACAACTAGTGTGTACACCCACTTTTTCCTCTATCCGTGCACAAGTAGGGCTATAAACGTCAGATTTCCTCATGTGAAATAGTTGCGTGGAGAGCTGCTTCTCCTCATTCATGTGACGCGCTCGGAGAGATGAGAATTACAGCGCTGGGAATATGCAGAGAGCTTATTGCATTGTGAATCCCGTGTTGTATAAAGTTCACTATAAAACTCCACCTCAGAAAGATTATTTTGATAGAGATTGCATTTTACAGAAAGCTCATGTCTGCACCCTGCTGGTTTTTTGTGGAGCAATGAATAAGTTAATTTGCAAAAAAAAAAAAAAAAGGACAGAAGCACAAGTGCATAAGTTTCTGTGATAAATATGAACAAATCTTATAAGAATCAAGCTGGATAATGAGCAACACTGTGTTTTAAATTAAATCAATGAGTCATGGTGGTGTAGTTCTCCTCTATGTCTCTCTAAATGCAAGAGACCACATGCAGAAAACAATCCTGTGTTCTGCATTATGCTGAGGATGGGGATGCTGCTTAGGCGTATTATACACTGAATTTATTATACATGGGTGCAGACTATAATTACTGATGGGAATATTCACTAGACCTTAACTTGTACACTTTGTTGCCGCAATATGACGATTTAAAATTGCATGCCACTGAAATGTCTCCCTGTATTAGAGAATCTCATTCATCACACACCTCCAACACACCAGGAGAGCCAGCGTCACACTAAGCGCCGGTCTCAAATAATTTGCAACGCCTGCCTCTCAGAACAGCAAGCCCCTGTTATATTTTAAGTTCTGTGTTTGGAATGTAAGAAAATATTTATATGTATATGCTGCCTGGCCAGATTTGCCTCCTCTAAATGCCTGTAGCCGGCTCGGCATGCAAACCAGGGGTGACACAAAGTCATTTCATTATGGAGTGTTGCAGTGTTACTAAAGGACAACTCTTTTGCATTCAGCCAGTGCGTTTCCACTGAATCAGAAAATCTATGTCATCCAATGAGAGCTACCAGTACAGAGAGAAAATACATCTTCTCATCGCTGACTCTCCAAACATAGAGTCAAGATTTTTGAACCCAAAGGAAATATACGCTAGCTATTGCAAGGTGCTGTCTAAACCTAAAGTGGCTATCAATATTTTAAAAAAAAACAATGTGAAAACAATTTGACAATGTGAAAGGGGTCACTCACAGTGACAAAGTGCAGCTCCCCTCAGCATTACAAAGCTTTATAGCCAGTTTCAGCTCACTGTTTAGGTTTCCGGCCCACAATTTAAAAGGATACTTTTCCAATTTTCAACCAGCTTTGTATCATAAAAAGTTGGGTAGTGTGTGTAAAAGAACTGTAGAAAACTTCCCTCCATCTCACCAGTGTGCAGATCTCTCTGCTTAACTCTCAGATAAAATAAAACGTGGTCATCCAGCACACTACAGATTGTCCCTTGCAATTTGGTATGCCCACCACCAGGACACAAAGAGTATACAGCGGATCAAGAGACCTGCCCCTCCCTTTCCTAAATATAGACCAAACTCCAGTCAAACAGTAAAACAAGGCAGTGCTTATAGAATATAAACAAATATTCTGTTACTGTATTACCTATATCTTGTCAAAATTGTCTTCAGAAACATATTTTAGTGCACTGTTTGGCTGTAATATGAGATGTATGAACTGGAAGCTGGCATCATACTGTTTCCTGTGTTGCCAAAATGGAGGCTGAAAATACTGACATCAAACAGTAAAACTAGCAGTGTTGATAAAACATGAACCAAGATTGTGTTACTGCATTGTCGAAAATGTCTTCAGAAACACATTTTAGTGCACTGTTTGGCTATAATGGGAGATTTGTGAACAGGAAGCTGGCATCATGCTGTTTCCTGTGTTGTCAAAATGGAGGCTGAAAATACTGAGATCAAATGGTACAATTAGCAGTACTGATAAAATATGAACCAACATTCTGTTACTGTGTTGTCTAAAAAGTCTCCAGGAACATAGAACATAATTTAGTGCACTGTTTGGCTGTAACACGAAATTTGTGAACAGAAAGTGGGTGTCATACTAATTTTGTGTTGTCAAAATGGTGGCTAAAAATACTGCGATCAAACAGGTAAACTAGCAGTACTGATAAAATATGAACCAAGATTTTGTTACTGCATTGTCTAAAATGTCCTCTGAAACATATTTTAGTGCACTGTTTGGCTGTAATATGAGATGTATGAACAGGAAGCTGGCATCATGCTGTTTCCTGTGTTGCCAAAATGGAGGCTGAAAATACTGACATCAAACAGTAAAACTAGCAGTGCTGATAAAAGATGATCCAAGATTGTGTTACTGCATTGTCGAAAATGTCTTCAGAAACACATTTTAGTGCACCGTTTGGCTGTAATGGGAGATTTGTGAACAGGAAGCTGGCATCATGCTGTTTCCTGTGTTGTCAAAATGGTGGCTTAAAATACTGCAATCAAAGGTAAACTAGCAGCGCTGATAAAATATGAACCAATATTCTGTTACTGCATTGTCTAAAAAATTCCTCAGAAACATTTTTTAGTGCACTGTTTGGCTGTAATATGAGATTTGTAAACAGAAAGCATCAGACTGTTCCTGTGTTGTCAAAATGGAGGCTGAAAATACTGAGCTCAAATAGTAAAACTAGCAGTACTGATTGTATTAAATGTTTTCAGAAACATTTTAGCTTACTGATTAAGCGAATTGAAGACTGTTTGTAACTAGCCAGCTGCCATATTGTTTCCTGTAGAAAAACGGCCACACTCACATTACATCACCCACCAGCGGGAGAATTTATTGGCCCTGTGTGGTGCATTGCATTCTGGTAGTTGTAGGTTTTCTACCTCTTGAGCAAAAGCAAATGCCACAGCCCCTTTTCTCTGTTTTCTCTGGTCATGTAGCACCAATTTCAAAAGTATTTACATCTGTCTACAGCATAGACAGCCTAGCTCTGTGAACATACCATCTATCCAACAGTGAAAAATATTTCCTAAACTGTTTTGGTTCATTTTGTCTGCTCTTAATGAATCACTTTCAGTTGCAGCAGGCAGATATTTTTTAGCAAAACAGCTTTTTAAAAAACAGTTTTACACTACCTGATCAACACCAAATGGAAAACAGAAATAGTTAGTGACTAGCTGGTGAACAAAGTGGAGCACTGGGCAGACTTAAAGTCACATATTTCCCTCAGGAGTTGGTAGAGACCAAAAACAGAGCAAAAAGTGATTGAAAATTATATTTTCATTTGCAACACATTCTCGCTCCAACCTCGTCACATATTGATGTGCTTGGTCATGGACTTTCCACATCCACATACGATGTACAAGGTAAGATAAGATAAGATAGACTTTATTGTCCCGAAGGAAATTTGTCTTGGATACATGCAGTATCTGCTGTTAAAAGACACAAAAAAGTTGACACATACACCCACATACCCTGGGTGCTTTGGTTGTTGATGGTCTGGGACACTGTGTCAACTTCTGCCTGTTGCATGCATTGTCTTCTTTCACAATACACTTCCATTTTCACAGGACATTTAATAAATGTACTACTTCAGTACAACACTATGAATTGACATTTTTTTCCTTCAACAACAAACACATGGTTGAGTTTAGGCAACAAAAGCACATGGTTAGGTGTAGGGAAAAAAGAACAGGGTTTGGTTTTGGAATCTGACAGGACGCAAACACCGCTCTCGGATGAAAGTCGGCGTTTGTTGGACCCATCCACCACCCCTCCTGCCTACTCCACTCGGACTTTCGCCACCTTAACTTTTGTCCTTGTCCGGCCGTGTTTCCCCCTGATGCCGACGAGCACTGTTAAACTATAACGACAACCAGCCGTGTATCATGCCAACTTTAAAGGACGACTTTTTTTGTTGGTTTCTGATGCAAACTTTGGCAAAAACTTGATTAGAAACACAAAATATGATCAGTTCAGTCATGCAATAGTGTTTCTAATCATTATTGCATGACTGAACTGATCATATTTTATGGAGATTTGATTCTGATTTATTTCCAAAGTTATGTCCCAGCCAATATGGAATATCTTGATATTGGCAAACTAGACCTGTACATAAATAATGCAGGTGATCGGGCGAGGGGGAGGAAAGCATGGACAAGTGCTTGGAGCACAATGGTTACTGGGTGTTTGGCAGTCAAGAGAGCGTAGGAGAGCTCAATGGGTTTGTTGAAATTGTTGCATTCGTAAATTGCCACTCGGAGAAGCGGAGAGCTCTCTAACAACAAACTGACCCGTTTGTAAATTCTCACTGTTGTCAGACTTCCTACCTGTCTAAGAGTCACCCTGTCAGAGATTTCCGAGCATGCTCAGACACTCTGGCTGCCGAGCAGTTGCAGCAGAACGTGTCAGTGTTAACAACACAAGTGAAGTGGTATTAAGATGGCTGCCGCTACTCAGTGCTGATGATAAATTATTATCACAGCACAAGAGAAAATATATTGACCCGTTTTATCTTCCCTTTGTTGTGTCTGTTATCTGAGCCATTCATAAACCGCTCAGACATTGTCTCTCTCTGTGGAAGCTGAGTGCTCAGATTGTGTCTATTTGCATTTACAAACAAGCAGTCACTCAGGAAAAATGGAGTTTATTGAAGTTTAGTTTAGTCCTAGCAGCTGCTTTGTGGGGAGGAGAATTTACCAGCTGTGTCAAAAGGAAGACATCAAATGAACATGTTCTACTTTACATAAGGGCAACAGGTCTTAACAGGATTTAAGAGAAACTAAAGGTCATAAAACATCAGAGGAGGTTGGAAAGGACTCTCCCTTCTCCTTGTTCCAGCAGACGTGGCACAAGCTCACCACTGCAGTCACAATCTACTAGCACACAGTCAGTGTTCATCACAATGAGGCTGTGAGCCACACGAAGCACAGCGGCCCTCTTTGCAGCTTGCATTAACATTCGCCTCGTGTCTAGATTGTATTCAGATATGAATTATCC